TCCAGTAAAACCAGCAGCTAAATTGAAGTCTTGCTTCATTGAACAAGCCTAAAGTAAATGTCTTTGTCCCCTCGGCTCTCTTGTTAGACCAGCTCAGCATCCAGGGGCGGTCTGAGTAACAGTGAGTCTTACAACATATTTAAATGGCAGCAGGAAGAAAAATCCCTCCCTGATGTGCAGGACTAAATTACTGCAGTTTAAAAGATAATAGCATAAGTGAGAAGTAAAAGACTTAGTTCAATAGGTGTAGCCAAAGTAGTAGAAGTAGAATGAAAGATATTTCTGTAAACTAAGAAATGCCACAGCCTGCAAAACAAACCTGTTAGGTAATAAGAGAAGTATTTAAAAACAAGGAAGCGCAGCGGCACAGTACTGTTTTAATAATTAATAAGAAAAAGGCAACAAGTGATCATAGCACATTCCTTGTGGCTTCAGTTTGCTGAGACCATGTCGGGGTGGGAGAGGAACTAGTTTTATATTTCAGACTATTTGCGTGATGGATTGGCACCACTTGGTCTCTCTTCCTTTGACTTTGGCTCCACTGCTCCTCCGTCCGGAAATCAAAGATTTATTCTGGGATATAAAAAAGAATGAAACAGATATAGGCCAGCAGATATGGGGATGTAATGACTAATTATGTTAAGAAAACATTAAATTACAAAACAAAGCCGGGTGTTGCTGTAGGAGGTCTGCTATTGTTAAGATGGTGTCCCAGGCTAAAACAAACTACTGCTCTGTGGTTTGGTGTTTGTCTTTAGGTATGTGTTAGTCGGTTTCTGTAAACCAAAGTGTAAAGTGCTTCGTTTACAATCTAAGCCCTGGGTTATTTGCTTAATAATCTGAAATAAAAAAGGAAATGTAAGATAACGAATGAAGAGGGTGTATATTGTGTGTATTTGAATCTCTAAGGCTTTAAGAGGAACCAACAAACGTCTGGAGTTTGTAGTCTGTTTAAGATGTGTATTACAGATGTTTAATCAGCGTTTTTTTTGTTTTGTTTTTTTCAGCTCTCCTCCCCCATTTTAAAAGGTAATTAGAAAATGTTTGCATCATAAAGAAAAAAAAGGGGGTCCAAGGAACTAAGGAACAGGTTTAGTTGTGTGAATGAGGAACTGGATTGTCAGGTCCGGACAGAAAACCTGAGGAGCTTGTCAGGGAAGCAGCCTGGAGTCTGTTTTCACACACCACCTGTCAGGGAGAAAGGCCTCAGCAGATACACAATGTTTTGCACAAAGTGATTCAAATACAACAATAAGACAAATTGATTAATGAATTCAAAATCTCACAAGCTGCTTAGTCTTCCTGCCTTCATTTGACCTGCATTTTCTTTCATTTGCGCGACATTTAGGATGGCGTCAAAACATATGGTTAGTAAAGTCTAACTGAGTGTAGCACACATCAAACCTTTGTTTGAACTTTTTTATTAATTACTTCCAAGAAACCTTAAGAAATTCAACTTAAATAGTTTTTCTCCTTAGCAATTGCTGACAAGAATATTTTATATGCGCTGGGTTTTGTTCTCAGTTCAGTTTTGTTTAAATAACTTTACACTTACTTTTATTTAAATGTTAAATAGGTCAACAAATGATTCAGCTATTTAAAATATTTTTTCTTTTTAACAGGTTGTTAATCAAATAGTGTTTTTCCTGTCAAAACTGACATCATTCAACTTCCTGTAAATCCTAAGTTCTGATTTCCATGATGCGAGAAAATAATAAAAAGCTTTTTTGAACTCATATATGGTGGATGGTATAAAACAGGTCAAGAAATAAAGGCTTTAAATTATATAAAAGTTTTGTCTATTATCTTATTTGTTTAGAAATTGGTTAAAAAGTAAAATATAAGCTGTATAATCAGCAGCACTTGTCAATGTTTTACCCTAAAAGCACTGAATATTTGGAATGGCTGAAATAGTAGAATGATTGCTGAATTAATCAGAGTTTAAAGTCCCACCACCTATAGGATCTCATTAGTTTGAATGACGTAGACAATTATCACAATTATCTGAAAATCAAATTTCATTTTTAAATTTTCTGCCTTTTTCTGCCTAAGGAAATCCATTTTTCTTTATTTATCCAGTTTTTTTTATCATTAAAAATGTTGTAGGTCATTCAAAAGAAACGTCAGAGTTGTACTTTTGCGAACTCTTCATGCCCTTGCACATCTGGTGCCTCAAATAGCCTGTTTTTTTTTATGAAACATCACAGACTGGTGGCATCTGATTGGCTGCAGATGTTCCAACACAGCAATCCTTTTAGAAATATATTTTTCCTCCATCCAGTCATCATTTAAAGTTTAAGTCTAATCAGATTGGCTCGACTGAATATAATCCTCTCCTACTTTGCAAATGGTGTTATGACAGGCAAACTCAGTTTGCTCCAAATGACTATGTTTGATCTTATTTCTAAGCATTTTTATTTAGTATGCTACATATTTACGTAACAATATGACTGTAATTCACATTTTTAACGAATATCTTTTTATTGACAGTACTCATTACCTCTAGTTTTGGTCGGTTGGACTTATTTAGATATGGATTAGATGATATCTGCAAAATTTACATGACGAAACATTTTAAAAGTTAGGTCAACACAATATAATATCAGTATTGATTAAAAGAAAAGCCTCAAAAAGACCATCGAGCATGCCCACACCAGATATCTTTACAGACTTATTACAATTCTTTTGCCATGTTTATATAAATCCTCCAATATAACGTTTAGCTTTAAAAAACAAAAACACATAAAACTGCATAAAAACCCAGAATATCAGTCAGCGACAAATTATGTTATTGATGTATATTGAAATGTTGGAAATCTTTTTAAAAGTCATTTCAATGACATTGAATTAAATTATAATGAGATCACATCCAACTCTGGTATAAACAATATGTATCAAATGTAAAGTTTACATAGCAAAATTTATTTCATTAACTATAATAATCAGTTGATTTTAAATGATTGTGTCATACAGATGAGTTCAGTTCAAAAACTGAAAGTTTTGGAGTGTTTGAGTTAGCTGGAGATAAGTAGAAGTAAGATTTGTTGCAAATCCAAGGCTGCTGATGGGCAGGGAAGAAAAATAAAGCTGATGTAGGTTTTGATAAATTTGCTGTACACACTCTGAAGTTCATCATTTTGCCTGCTACATTTTACCCTGACTAAGTCTAAATAGAAACATTTAAATACATGTTGATTAACGGAGTGCTTTTGGGTTACTTTTGCAGACATTATGATGGAGACCCTAAAGGACCTTTAAACGTGTTTAGCTACTTTAAATGCCTTAGTTTTTGCTGAACAAACCACCAGATATTTTTCACATCTTGATACTTTTTTCTATCTCAGCAGAGCTTTTAGTTGAACTTTTGCTCAGATGAAAGTCCCTCTGCTCCCTGCCCCTCATGTTAGGGATGTTGATTCTTAAACATGCATCTAATTTCTTGCTGATATAACTGTGAAAATAACTCCATTAATCACTAGGCTTCTCACTAGGTTTGGCAATCTGTAGGGATGCATTTTTATACAAAACATGTAGTTCAGATGCAGGACCAGTGTTTTCTGACATCAGAGCACACAGGTCAGACAGGAATGCTGCGATTGGATCTAACTTAAAAATAATTGAATAATAAATTAACTTTATGAATCTCACAATGGAGAAATTCACCTCTGCATTTGACCCATCTTCTTGGGGATCAGTGGGCTGCCACTGTGCGGCGCCTGGGGAGCAGTGTGGGGTTAAGGGTTTTGCACAGGGAGTCAGAGTGGAGTCTGCAGGAGTTTGGTTGAACTCAAAACCTCACGCAATGCTCTAACCACTAGTCCCCCACTCCCCATCTGACTTTGGATCAGATCAGCCACGAACCTTAAAATACAAATCAATAATCATCAACACTGCCGGGAAGGGAACCATTGATCTAAACTAACACATTAAATACAGTAATGACCTTTAATTTAAACTTACTTTCATATCTTTTTCTCTGTTATTGAAGCAACAACATTTCTATCAAGGGTTTTTACAAAAGGCAAAAATGGTCTGACTTACTTTGCAGCCTGTACATATTACACAGACATGTTTTGTTGTTATTAAACCCACACATTAGCTGTCTGGTGAGGCTTTCAGTGGGACCAGTGCCATGACAATAGTGGTGTAAACAGTGGGAAGTCACCTCAGGGTAGATGCCTCCTGTGAGAAACTATCTGCAGGACCCTCCAGAGAAAACAAGTGAAATGCACTAGTGCTTTGAAGAGAATCTAAGGAGGAAGACAGACTTCATTTCATAGAGCTGCCCTTGAAATACCAACTCATCTCTTTAATGCTTGTTTGTGGTTTTCTGAAGTATTTAGGGGGACTACAGTAAGAGTCAAATGTGTCTGATTAAAGCATTACATCAGCACTTGTACTCGCTCCAGCAGAGCAAAACACTACATCAAAACTTCCTGTTTTAAGCTGGGAATATAAGCAACAGAAGGGCAGGTCATAGGTCATATTTAGGGGCCTTTCATAGGTCATCTAATAAGATTTACACTTAATATTTTTACATGTCGTTACATGTTAAAACAATATTGAGTGTTTTTGCAAGCTGTTATCTCTTTTTGAAAACCAGCTTGTGTTATTTTAAATACATACATCATCCCAGACTGTTTAACAGAGGATCCTTCCTGTTTGTGTTGGCTTTGTTTTTACCTCTGTGGATGGGTGTGTCTCAATAAACCTACACCATTAGCATGTTGGGTTTAATGTAACTGGTTAAACAGCCTGAACCAGTGAGTACAGCGACTCAGGCTTTTACACACCCCCACATGTCATGGTATGACTGTGTGAGTCAAGCAGCTGTATGCATATCTGTCATGCTCTGCTCCTATGGGAGTACCAACAGGTGCACTAGAAAGATTTTACAGCAGAAAATGTTTTTTCCCTTGCCAAAACCAAAAAAATACAGTAAGCGGAAGGAGGTAGCTGTAATATACAAGAGGAAAACCTCTGTGAGAGGCAAGGATTTAAGAACCACCCAAACTTTGTAAACCGCCCAATCAAGCTGCGCTGTTGGAACTAGATCCCTCCCATACTCACCACCTGAGAGCAAAGAAACACAGCTGTGCCTCAGAGACTCAAAAGACTGAGGAAGAAAGAGAGAAGGAACCAAAGAGCTGGTGAGAGCAAGAGTTAGGACTGTGAAGGCTGTTAAACACGTTGGACAAAGGAAAAACAGAAGACATGTAAGACGTGAAAAAGCTTTTGGAAACTTGAACAAGAATGTAGACAAGAGTCTCTGGAGAGAAGAATCGGAATCCTCTGAAGATCTTTGAATCTGTAACAAGACTATGAGCTCACTGTTGCTGGATTGAATGAACTCAACATAAAGAGAAGATACCATAAGAGGAAACTGGACACCAAAATGTGGACAAAAGGAAAAAGACATTGAAGACAAGTTTTTGAACTGCTTGTCTTTGAAAAAAACATTTTTGTTTTGTTTTTTTGCTATGGGATTTACTGTTGAACCATGTAGCATATGTTTGCAAGCTCTGAAGAGGGCATAATTTAAGTATTGACTTCGGGGAGCAGATTGATTTTCAGCACCTTGTGTTGCTGACGATACAGACATGTCTGCAGAAGATGCAAGGTGCAGTAGCCTTAAAGCTAGAAGTGATACCTTAGATCTCAGTGAGGTCCATTCTCCGCAGAAAGGCTCAGACCAGGTAGTTCCCAACCAGAACCAAAGCCAGGATGGGATCGTCCTGGATCGTATTGCCTCTCTGTCAATGGACACATTTGACCCCAGTGACTTCAAAGGGAGATTTTCAAAGATCCGGTCTAGATCCAGAAACAGAAAAGGGATCCTACCAGGTAGGTGAAGACTTGGCTTTGAAAGCTTTTGTTTTTGTTTTATGTATGAGTGTTGCTATAGCCTGGTATCAACCATTATGTTTCAATATAAATTCTTCTCTGGAGGCTGGAAACAAACTGCTTCAGCAGACAACTGAAATAGGAATCCCCAACATACTCGAAATGGAATGTGCATTTGCAGGTTTTTCTGCAAAGAATGTGAAGAAGTCACTGATCTAGCTATTCAGATCATTTCTGCCTCTACCTTTCTGCTGAAGACATAACTGTTGGCAAGTCTTTTCCTTAGCTTTTGTATTCCCTTTAAAAAGTGATACTATTTTTGCTTTGAGAAAACAGGAGGTTCATTAGTCCCCCAACCCCCCTAACCCTTCACTAATCCTCAGACGTAGAAGCAGTATTTGTCTATGGTCTGTTCAAAACACATCAAGATATACTGCACAGATTGCCCTTCATTAAAGTAGTGATTACACTATTAATTTTGTTCCCTCTCAAGAATGATTCAAGTCTGAAATGCAGAGTGAAAATTTGATTTTCAGTTAAAAGTAGAAGAGGAAATTTGGCCCGAAGTAATGTCTGTGCAGCAGAGCACCACCTGCACAAACATCTCTTTCAGAAAGAAACTACTGTAACATCATCTTCTATGTAATTGGAACAGGGAGGTTAAAAGGTCAAATTCTTAACACAAGAAATGTTATGAATTGAATATTGTTGGGCTTCTCCGCTGTGATAGTTTGGACCCCCGAGGCTTTGATGTGAAGGAGACAAGTATGCCAGGCATGAAAACCCCTCACTCAGACAATCTGTGGAACAGTGACCTATTGGATCAATCCAACTGTGTCAGGGAGACACTACCGTGTGAACCCTGAACCTCAGACACGCCCTCTGGGCTTTTGTGTAGCTGTTTACTCTCACATTGTTGTGAGGTTTGAGTCAATATTGCTGTTAACTAGTGAAAATCTCCACATGGATAACAGGTCAGATGGGAAACCATGAACGTATAGGGACTAAGCAATAACTTTCCATATCTCAATACCACAAATAGTTTCCCCTGCTTTTATAATCTAATCTTTGCTGAAGTTGCAGTAGTAATCCTATAGTTACCTCTGTTATTCCAGTGCTTTCCTATATGGACACTCTGTCTGCATTGATAAACATTCACCTGTTAGACTTGGACTTAGGTTTAACTTGACAACGGCAATGATTATTTCTCCTGAAACAAAAATAAAGTATTTTGATATTTTTGGCTTGTGTGCCTGGGAACAATACATCCACAAAATCAACCAGAACCACAAAAATATTGCAGACGTGCTTCCTTCAAAATGTTACTATTACACAGATAAGTACTTTTTTGCATTTTTTTACGACTAAATTTAGCTCTCAGCTCCTCCCTTTGTTGTCCTTCAAATTTTTTTGATTTTTTGGATGTGGTGAAAACTGTGCCTAATGACCTGCACGGTTGGAACATTTCCACCCAACATTAAATAATCACTGCAAAATTTGTAAAAAAAAAAAAAAAAAAGAAATACACACTTCTCTTTTACCCCTTTCCCACTGGCCGAACAACCCCTTTAAACCTGGGAACAAATGGCTTTTAGTGGCAGTGGGAACACCTCACTGACGCTTATCTATCAACAACTAGGGTCCAACAACTAGGCAAGCGACCCGCGTTAATATCATCTTGGCTCTGATCCGCATGCTATGGGAACACCAGAGCTGTTGATGGTTGACCTGCTAAATTACACTTTCAATCCAGACGCCCCACTACCACAGACAGACTGCCACTCTGGGTCCCTAAGCAAAGACACTTAGCCCCCACACAGCTCCCCAGGTGCCGCACAATGGCAGCCCACTGCTCCCCAAGGGGATGGGTCAAATGCAGAGAGTTCATTCCATTGCTCTGTACTTATCACAGTGTAATGGCAATAAAAGCTGGGGAAAAAAGTGACCATGTAGATTGCCAGCAGGGGGTCAGACTCGGCTTTTCTGCGAAATGAGAAAAGAGTCAAAGCAGATATTTAGCACGTAAACCCAGGTTTAGAAAAAACGGGTTTTTAGTGGGGAAGCGGCTTTTGATTAAACTTACTCAGCAGTTTCTAAAGCGATCATGCCTAACAAAATGGCAGTTAGCGACAGAGTGAGTCCGACTATATGTGTCACATTGGAAATGAATGTATTGAACTGTCCTATCATCCAGGCTGTTATTTGATTGCCTTTTTCGATTCCTGACTCAGCCCTACTCCATCAGGAGTGCCATTGCAGTTTGAGGACTAAGATCTTCACCCTTCGCAACACCAGAGTGTAGAATTAGATTAAAAGTGAATCCAACCGAAGCAGTATCCATCTATGATCATTTCCCACCAATTAAGATTTCATAGTCAAAGAAAAACTTAAACTCAAACTTAAAAGCGAACACCGTTTTTTTTTACATTGGGCCCTTGATTTTACGTTATTACATCATGTTCTGCTCACCTATATGGGTTTTGTGTTATTTGGAGCTGTTCTGAAGATCTTCCTTTGGGCAAACGACTTGAAGGCACAAACTAAACTGTTCATCATTTATCGTTTATGGTACGCCAGCATTCCTAACATGTAGGCGCATCACTGTCCCCGACACATCCGCAGTTATATTTTTTATATTTATATATTTTTTAAAACAAAGCTGCGCGCGGATGATGTCATACACGCGCCACTTCGTTTAAAAAAAAATATAAATATAATGGAATATCTTTGGAACAGCTCCAAATGACACAAAACTCATATGGGTTAGTAGAACATGATGTAATAACGTAAAATCAAGGGCCCAATGAAAAAAAAAACGGCGTTCCCCTTTAAAGCAGTTGCATAGGTAGAATGGTTTCAGAATAAAGTATGCCAAAGATAGGAGAGGAAAAAAAGGAGAGCTCTGACTGAGTCAGCTGTTTATAATGTAATTTATGACAATTCTTTTCATACGTTAATATCTAAAACTGAATTAAAACCACTTCCAACTGAGGAGAAGTTTGTAAGAACCTACAGACATTTTTATAATTAAAACCTTTGAGGTGTGTCTCATAGCAACAGTATCCATAAACGCACAGCAGCTACTGCTGCAGCTCCTCTGCTCCATTCAAATTTAGAACCGATAAGTGATTAACTTTTGTCTGTATCCCAAAACATAAACACATGAAAATATCCTACCTTCACCAGTTAAGCTCCTCTAAAAAAAGACTTTCATAAGAACCTTACTCTCTCTCACTTTCTCTTTCTACAAAATCATGGAAACACAAAGAGAAAGTCTGCACTTTCATTCAATAAATTTTCCCACTAGTGTTGGCAGTTTGCATCAGCATGTTTTGATGTCAACTGTGTAAAACTATAGGATAATTATTAAGCATGGCTGGCTCTCTTTAGATGTTGACTGCAAATACAGAACTCCTATAGTTGAATGAAAAGATCACCAAAATATGAATGTAGAGAAATTCAAAATGGAAATAAGAAAGATTAAAGCAAAAAGGCTGAGGTAATGTTTTGGATCCTTCCATGAATATCCATGTTAAGGCCCATCCTAAATGTCCCACCCTCTAGCAGCATTTTTTTGAGGTAGACTATTACAAGCTTTTTATCTAAGTCGGTCCTGGCGCCTGCAGTAGAAATGCAAAAGTGAGAAAAGTTAGTTTGTGCATTGAAAAAAAGCACCTTCAGACACACTTAAACATCAGGCATGCAAACAGGCCAAAGGGCCCCTTGCAGTTACCCAGAAAGAAAAACAATGAATACATCTTTAATTTGAAGTTGAGTGAATATGTGTCTGTGTGTTGAGAGGAATCACATTCCAGCAGCTGGCATGCCCAGGCCTCTGCTCAGAATGCGAGGAATCCCATGAGCTTCACAAGGGTGTGTGCTTTTTTTTTTTTTTTTTTTAATGATTTTCTTTTCTAACCCTAACTTGTGAGTGTAGCTGTTACTAGCTATTTGGGAATTTTCCCTATTCTCCTAGTTGGCTATGAATTTGAATAGATTTTCCTATCTTGGATTGCCTTTGGTGAACTCCAACGAGTACTTCCCATTTGCACTTTTCCCTGTGTGAAGAAGCATTGGCCACATCTAGTACAGCAAATGATTTGCATTTTGATTTGGACATCTTACCTATAGGATAACACAACTCTAACACTTTTAGTTGCTTCCTGGACAAAAAAAAATAATTGTCAATATGCTCATTTTAACAATTAATAAAACAGCCCAGTATTTAACAATGTATTGTCATTGCAAGTGTGAGAAAGGGGGAAAAAAAGATAATTAATCATGTAAAGTCTGTGGTTAGCACTGTCTGCTAAATCGTACAAGTTTGTTTTATGTGGAGTTGCGCGGAGTAATCCTTCCTTACTTTTCCTTTTTTAAGAGAGTCTCAAAATATGCAAGTAGCGTTAAGTAGTTACTGTAAATCTCCTAAAATTATTAGTGTCTATTTTCACTCCTATATGTCATCATATTTGCCCTGTGATGAACTAGCAACCCTCACGGCTTTCAACAGAATGAGATACGTATCAAGATTGAAAAATTGGCCAAAGATGATGAATTACTTTAGTAAATAATAAAAATCTGAGCATAGATGATGTAACAGTAGGTACACACCATCATCTCTACAAAAACACTACAAGGCGATTGGCTGTAGCCAAACAACACATTTTAAGCTAGATTCAGTTTGCAGAGATTCTCTGCTGGACCCCTCTTCCTTAGAGATCAGGTTTTAATTGTCTTTTAATGTAAATCAGGCCATCCTGTACTTCATAACTCTCCTGTGAGCGGCAGCTTTCGTGATACTCTTGTCTTATATGCATTCTTCTCTCCCTAGCCTCACATACTCTCTCCTCCCTCCCTTCACCGTTTACATGTACTGTTGCACTTCTGCGGTTCATCTGTGGAAGTACGTGTTGACCAGCGTTATCCGCCCTGAGTACATGCGTTTATCTTTCATGTTACACACTTGTTGCTGTCTAATTGTCTAATTATTTCATTGTTGA